ATTCTATGATTCTATGATTATTTAAATATGAACTTATATTTAAGATCAGTCCTTTCAGTGTGACCATGAACAGGAGGTATTTGTGAAAGATAAGCCAACAAAAGTAATCTGATGAAAACTGAGCATCACCTTCTATAACAGATGATGATTCCCAGTAGGACTGCCTTGAATATTCAAGGAAAGATTATAATGTATTTTCCTTTCTTTTTAGCTTCTAGCCTATAGTGCTGTCTAAACATCATTAGGTATAGTTGATAATTTCTTACACTTCGATCCTACAAGAAAGGGCCTGGTTTTATTCATCCATTATTTTAGTCTTTATGGCTACATTTTAAGAACCTCACAAATAGGTCACCAGTATATCAAACGTTAAAAGAAGACATTCACTAAAGCAACAAATACCCTTTAATAAATCCTGTCTGTTAGATATTTCAACATTATAATGATGTTCCTTTTATGTTTCTTTTAAGTTAATCTTCACCTACAGTTGTAAATTCTTGTTAAATGTTCATTTTTTCTGAAAGCCTTAGCAATTAGTGGAGCTTCCTGGCCATTGCTTTCAGTTTAAAAGCGAGACTGTAAAGAGGATTCACAGTGAAGATGTCAAAAATTTAAGTTTTCAAAAGACCTGTACATCAGGCAACACCTTCTGCCCAGATTAAACAAATATCGTCTATACGTATGCTCCATTTGCGTTACTGGAGTCTCATTACCATTGTATTAAACCCTTATGAGCTACATTGTTTTACTTAATGCCACCAAGCCAAGGCTTGCTTAATCTCTGGTGTATTTCTTGTTCAGCACTTACAAATAATGCTTCACATGCTTGTTTCATGTTCCACGTTTTAGGACAGATAGTGTGCAACTAACTGCTGGTAGGAATCCAAGTGCTGGAGATAGTGACTCTGGAGTTTGGTTATTTAATATATAGTATTGATAATATATATTGCTCTTGGACTTCTGTACATGCTTTCATTGCTTGTCAGGTAGACTCGACATTTAATGAAAGAGGTCTTGCTTGATGGTGTTTAGCTAATAAATTGCTAACCACTTTCAAAGTCAGCAAGGGAATCCCTCTTTCTCTTAAATATCCAAGTCTGATGTAGAAGAGTCGTGTTTCTTAATAATTTGTCTAAACTCTAGGGCTGTGCAATCCCAATACTGACTGTGTTGAAGTCCTGACACTGTAGTTATATGTTACTAGGCATACTAAAAATACTAAAATGCAGTTAACGTGGGAGAAAAACATTATCCTAATTTAAACCAACTTGTTAGCACTAGCATTGACCTTAGTAGATGAATTATTGTGGACATTAAAAGGTGGAAGGAACTACTGTCATCTTCAATAATTAGAGTGCAGACTGTAGAAATAAAGCTGTCATCAACTTCACATAGATTAGAATGCGTTCACATGATCCTTGAAGAATGATCACTGACAGAAAGCTGATATCTGAGAATCCAGTGCCTACCAATTGTGTTATTCAGTCCTTTTATTTTGTCAATCTGATAATGAAATGTTTCTTGTGTTTGCAAGACTCCTTTACCTAATGTGTCAGAAAAAAATTCAGAAGCATGCACCTCATATGCGTTGTCTTCAGAAGTAAATTGTGCGTGCTTAAGTATAAGATTTATGAGTGACTTAAAATATGAACACATAATATTGCCAAAGTTGTGTTGTAGGCATACAGTATCCTAACTGTTTTCCTCAGCAACAGTTCAAGCCTTCCTTTTTCTGAAGGGCAGTGCTAAGTAAAGTCTAGTCTTCACAGTGATAATCAGAGAAATTAATGTGCTTGCTTTTTGAGCTGGATTAGTTAAACTGCATTGAACTGTGGGTGGATTCTCATTCAGAATCAGATAGCCTTTGTTCAGTGTAGCCTGTTTAACTTTCAAAATAAATTAAAGCAAATGGAATTAAAACTATTTCAATTCAGTAAAGTATGTCTACACATGTTAAGTGTAGTTTACCAAACTACAATGAATTCACAGCTTAAATTCAGAACTAGTTTGCCTTAAAGGTGTGAGAATATAAGCAGGAATAGGCTGGGAAAATTTTACTAGCTGGTGAAGAACACTGAACCGACCCACCTTAGATGCTCAAAGAACCTTTAGCTTCCTCAACAAGACATGGACAAATGATACGACCTTTTTTTTTTTTTTTTTTCTTTTTTGAGAGCTCTCTAACAGTCAAAGCACATCTCTGGAATAAAAAATTCTACATCAGACATGGCATACCCAAGTTTCTGTACTACATTCCTGGTGTGTCTTCACTTAGCAGGCACATTCATTATAGAAGAAGTTTATTAAGAACTATGCCTTCTTAAGCAAGGTAAGGTTGGTAAGGAAAGGGAACATTCTGTATCAGACAAACAGGTACATATAGGGGAAATAAAGGAAAGCAAGAAGTGGGAAAAATAACTGTAAATTACTAATATTTATGCTGAATGGAAAGATCTATGTGCCTCTTAGGAGCACTGTGTGGTTTGTGTACCTCAGTCACTTGGGCACTTCTGGAAAAAAATTCAAAATGGCCATGGTACTTGTTTGAGCAAAGCCAAATTGCTACTGTTCTGTAGTCTGTCCATCACTAATTTATGTTAATATTCTACATCCATTTAAGAGGAAAAGATGTGCCTGAAAAGTTATTTGTGTCCTTAAATGTAATTGACTGTGAGTGTTCCATAATTTACAGTAATACAAGATACTGTTGGTATCTCTCAGGATATTTTCTCACCAACCAGTCAAGATTTTTTTAACTCTGAGCTGCTTGGAATTATATCATTAATCTAACTAGGTGACTGCAATATGCTGGGTAGTCCTGCATGATGAAGAGCTGCTGCAGTCCTTTGAGATGGGTGGTAGGAGCGTTTTGTACAGGGTAATAGATTGCCTACAAAGGAGTACTAATGATACTGCTGAGAAGTAGCAGGTGTGAAGAATAGCTTTTCTAAAACACAGGCTTAGTCAGAGCTTTGCAGATGCAGTTGTCAGTTCTTTTATATTTCCTCATTAAAATTCTGTGATTTGGTGAAGGATTCACTCTGGTTCGTGAGCCTTTACCAGTGCAGCAAAACAGAAAAGAAACTGGTTGCAAGCTATCTCTATGACTGGGGTGGCATTTCCAAACCCAGAATTTCCTACACCAAAAATTTATGCTTTCAGTCCATTGTTTTGTCCCTGAAGAAAGGCAAAGACTATGGAGACTGTGTCAAGAAAATCTGTGTCTACTGTCATAGTTACCTGGTCACAGGTATGACTGCCCTGACAGAAGTCCTTCCTGTAGACAGGTAGGCTCATGTTGTAAATATGCAGCCTGTCCATGTTTACATATAGGGAAAGCAAGAGTGGTAAAAATCACAGTTTATCCCAGTGTCTGAGAGTTTGTTCTTTTGAGACTATGAAACTGGATGGTCTCTGTGACCTCATTGGTCACAACTACTTTAGTCTAAAGGCAAAAGGCCCTTTTGACTTTAGTAAGAAGCCTGTTCATTTAAATAAAGGCTGTGGCATCAGAACTTCAGAGGCGAGCTCTTTATCAAAGGCAGAAACCTCACCACATTTACATGAAAAGGAATTTTGCCAGTGTGGTGGTTTCACCCACAGGTAGGACCATGTGGTCCTGCACTCCCTCCCCCCACCCATTAAGATGAGAAGAGCATCACAACAAAGGGGCACAGATTAGGGTGAGGACAGGGACGGCTCACTCACCAGTTATGGTCAGGGACAAAACAGACTCAACTTGGGGAAGAAAAATCAATTTAATTCATTGCCATTCAGACGAGTAGTGCAGTGAGACATAACAACCATATCTTACAACACTTTCCCCCACCCCTCCCTTCTTCCCGGGCTCAAATCACTTTGCTCCCGATTTCTCTACCCTCTCCCCCGCCCAGCAGCACAGGGGGAGGGAATAGGGGTTGCTGCTCTTCCTGGCATGAAAGTCCAGGAACAAAGTGTTCCCCAATGAGGGCTTCCTATGGAGTTCTGGACCTCTTTGGGCTCGGCTCCCAGCTCCGGCATGGGGACATCAACGGGCTGCAGATGGGCCTCTGGTCCAGCGCACCTCCTCACCCCCTGGCTCTGGGGGTCCACCCCCACTCTGGCATTGAGCATCTTTTGGAGTCACAATACAGTCACACCTGGCCCCAGGTTTGGCTTTCTGCTCCAGCGTGGAGTCCTCCAAGGCCTACATGTGGGTATCTGCTCCACCATTGACCCTCCATGGGCTACTGGGGAACTCCTTTGCCTTCTTCTACTCCATGCAGTTGAACTGAATGTCTGAAGCTCTCTCTTTGTATAGTCTGATGGTCGTTGTTTGTTCAGGTCAATGGCCTCTCCTGCAGGTTCTCTCCACCTTCTTCTTTTCAGGACAGTCCTTCCCATCACAAATATGGATCTGCAGAGGTGTTTTTCTAGTGCTAAATGGCTCAGCCTGGGCTGGGGAGGTATGCCATGGAGCCAGAGGAGCTTTTGCGAGGCTTCTCACAGGGGCCATCACTGTAGCCCCTTCCCCCCAAACCCAACGCAGCCAGGCTTCCATGCAATGCCCTAATGTGACTCCGAATGCCATATGAGTCTCTGATATGTTGGAAGCCACATCATTGCCATGTTTTGTTGATCTGGGGTTATTAACATTGTCCTCATTCCACATCGTTTATTTCAGATCACCAGACTAGCTCTGGCATTAACTTGTCAGATGTCAGGGGAGCATCAGAAAAAACAGACCTCAGTTTTACAACAGAAGTACTTTCTGAAACATTAGAAACTAATGAGCAGTCAATATTGGTGCTTCCAGGAAGAATATCCTGTGAGGTAAGGTTTTTGGATGCTAAAATCTTTGGGATAACAGTCAATGTTTTTCTCTTCCTGTTGCAATCTCATTCATAATATAACAGTTTCAAAAACAAATAGCAGATAAGGGGTCAAAATGAGACTGCAATGGAATTTATTTTGCCTTTGTGTCACATCCACACTGCAGCCAAAAAAATTGCAAAAAAATAGTTTTGAGACAGCCTCTGAGGGATTTTATTTTATTATAATTATTTGGCAGCTTGAGTAGAAATATTAATGTAATATAGACCTTGTAGTTTAGAGGGAGCTTATAGTCAGGCACTTCCTGAGAGACATAGAATGTCTCTTATGAAGAATCCATGATGGGTTTATGGGTTCATGTATATGTGCCCATTCCACAAGTTACACAAGTGCTTGTGTGAGCAGATACCTTGTCTGATTTGAAATTAAATCAGAAAGATTTATATATACATATCTGCATACATATCTGATGGGCACAAATGTTCATATGTGTTTGTTTTTAATCAGAATTGCTGTGAGAAAATATGTGAAAACATAAAGAAAGGAAGTACAATATCCAGCACTGCATTCCTTTACATAAGTGAGTGGCCATGGTCAGATATGGAAGTCAAGGTGTATCTGGAATGTCACGTATTTTGCTTGTTATCTGTCTTTCAAAGATGACTAACATTATTTCATTGTTGAGATCAGTACAGTTCTAAGAGAGTAACATCCCCTCTGGTTCAGAAGGCAGTAGAGGGGTATTGTCTCATGTTACCTACTGCTTCTGTCTTACCTTACTGTCAGTTCACTAGAAGAGTTTAAGTGAGTCTAAAGTATTTTAGGTTCTTCTTATTAGGTTGAATATCATTCTTCTAGATTATAAAGCAGAGTGGTCTTAGAAAATGTAACAATTCACCTACATATGCATTCGAAATACTGTTTTAAAATATTGTTAGGTAAGCTGAATTTAAAATATTACATTAATTGTGTCATTCATGTCAGTAAAATACTAAATAAAGGATAATACTGACATGGCATCATGTTTCGGTATTATGATTTTTTTTGTATGAAGCTGTTGGTAAAGGAACTTTCCTTCAACTTCTGTTTTCGTTTGCATTTTACACTTTCAGTATAATTTTCTGAAGGACTAATGGGAACATATTTTAATTTTAATTTTATAGAACCCTGGTGAAATATTCATTTTGTTGAAAGACGAAATAGATGATGAAACTTTAGAAATTGAATTCATAGCAGATAATCAACGAATTAGGACAAAGCCAGGCTCTTGGAATAAGAAGGTCAAATACATGAAAGCCTTAGGTAAGAAAAACATTCTTTACCTTTAAGTAAACAGGAAATTTTGGACTCACTTCACTCTTTCTGGTAAGTAGTTTCACTTCCCAATATTTTGTAGATGTTTCCTGTACATGGGTTTTGCATGCAGAACATTTATTAATAATGCAGAGAAGCAAGGTCTTGTGATTTATGGGAAGCTACATTCTATTAGATTGTTTTTGTGTGGTTAAATGGCAGGTGGCAGTCTTAAAATGTCATTGATTAGTCACAGATTAACATTCTTCAAAAACACTGCCATAAAATGCAAAACTAATATTCTTTTTTATTACTCTATTACTAAAATGTTTCATTTTATATTTAATGCAGTAAATTTGGCTATACTGCTGTCTATAATTCTTACTGACACAGAAAATAATTTCTTTTTTTTTATTCACGTCCATACCGTTTCTCTGTATCACTCAGCTCTGCTGGTTTCTAATGGGTTTTTTTCAACTGCTTAACTGCTTCATCCATAACTAGTTGCCAGCAGTTTCAACTAGTTAACAACAGTTTCTCTTAGGACATCTGTGCAGATTTAAGGGCTATACCTATCCCCACTTCCTTGATGTGAGTTAAGAATTTAAAAAATTTTCACCTGAGTATTCAGTGTAGCTTCCTACTCCACTGTATGCTGTGAATTCCCAAAGGAACTTATGTAACTTTTTATTCCAAAACCATTGTAATACAACGTTAGATAGGAAGATATATAGATAGATAGATACACATGTGTGTGTGTGTGTGTGTATATATATATATAAAAATAAAAGCTACAGTTTTCAACAATGGCTTCTTGGATCTAGGTTTGGGTAATTCTGTGGCCTGAGTTTCTTCCTGAACACTGTCCTGAGACAATGGCCACATATGGCCTGAGAGTTGTTTAGCACTGTGATGGTGCAGAGAGTTTATTTTTAGAGACCTGCTTGGGAGGTACATGACCAACAGGAAACTTTCATCTGTAACTGGATTTCAGAGAAGGAAAGCTAAAATCCTTATTCACAGATCTTAAAAAATTCTTCCAGAACTATTCTATAGGAACACTGTTGATTGCAGGAAGGTTTCTATAGTGGATAAAGAAATAAAATATGAAGAGTAAATGAAAAATTATGAAAAATGTGGGAGAGAACTGCAGCCCAAGTTTAATTTTGGTTCTTTTATGATTTTTATTTAATGCTTCACTCTGTAGGCTTTTTTCTGTTTCAAAATCTGGAAAAGTTTTAAGTTTGGGAGTACCTTTTTAAATAATGGCCCAGCTGATCTGAGGTTATAAGAAAAATGGGTTTTTTTAAAAAAAAACAAAAACAAAAGCTAACATCTGGGCATACTGTATTTAAGTGATTTAAGATGATGTTCTGTTAATTTTGTTTCCTTGGTGGTATTACTCTTTTCCATTTTCAGGGCTGCCCATTTTAGTTGCTCTTTTGTGGGCAGAGGTAGAATTTTAAGAAAACCGTGCTGTGCTGGTGTGGTATGGTACAGCAGGATGCTTGACACAGTGAATGCTAATGAATTATAAAATGTGCTCATAAAGAGGGCTCATGCTGCATACACAGAGCAAGTCATGCTTACGTAACAGACTGTACAAATGCCTCTTTCCTTTGCTTTTACTAGGTAAACAACTGGAATGGAAGTAATTATACTGCAGTTTCTGCAGCCTAGTTCAAATCCAATTTTGAGAACTTTGCCTGCAATTAAGAAAATGTTTCAAAAGATGAATAGCAATTCCACTGTTTGTAATAAATGAACTTTTCCTTAATTTGTAGGCATAAGGGAGCTGATTAGAGGTCATCAGTCTATCAAAGGGAAGTTGGAAATTTGAAGCATACTTTTTTCATCTCCTTTCTAACGTGAAGCAATGCAATAGCTTTGTTTTATACCGATTTACAGATATGTCTTTTCTTTTGTCAGTTTTTTAATGTTAGATTAAAAGACCTGGATAAAAAACCTGACTCCACTGAATCATCTGTGAAATGCAAATTCAGTTCATTGACTCTATGCATTTTCTGAATATTTTCCTGTTCTTTTACTTATTGCCTGAGACCTCTGGTCTGGGATTGTAAAATATTTTCAGCTACTGTCGATTTATGTTTTATAAGATTTTCCTGCTGGCCCTGTTTATGTAAATGTCTACTGTGGGGGAGTCATTAAGACCACAGCGCACATCGAGTACTATACTGCACTAGAGGAAATTGAGCACATTTTTAAGAAAGTGGCTGACCCAATAGCTCTCACTTGTCAGGTAAGTTGACTTCTGCATTTTTAATTAAAAAAAAAAAAAATAGAATGTAAGTGCCAGTATAAGCTAAGAGGTGGTACACTGTGCTGTGAAGAATTCTTTTGATTGCACAGTAATGAGTAATGGCTCAATAACAGGCTCAGGATTACAGAGGCCTGTCTTTGAGAAGCCTAGTTCTTAGGAAGTCAGGCAAGTGAAAACAAATTTTCTCCCTTTTTTTTGTTTGTTTAGAGAGTAATAAAACCATCCTTTGTGCTGGATATGTCCAATGAACAACATCCTGTATTACAGAGGATGAAAATAATAACAAACTGTAGCGATGTCCCTCTCAATTTAAAGTGTTCTTTTTAGTTTCTTCTAAAACCAGTAGACGCGAGTAATCTTAAATCACATTGTATTTGGAGGATTATTATTCATTCACCAGCAAACAGGATTTTTTGGCATAGCTTGTATGGAAGACAGTAGGTTGCTATTCATATATAGTTCATTTACAGCTGCTGAATTATCATTCATGTGGTTTGCTGGTTGCCATGCAGATTCTTTGCATATATTTAGAAGAACTCAGGTTTTGAGCTGGGTTTCAAATCAGCACAGCAGGCTGCAGTGCTCTGCAGCATGTCCTTTGCCAATGGCACATACAAAATAATAAGAAAAGAAAGCATCTATTAAAGGATGGAATCTCAAGCATCATTTGTTGAATCGTGAGTAGCTACACAGACTTGTCATGTTGTTTATATTGTAATTGCAAAGCCAGTGCAAAAATAACAGTCTGTGTTTCCAGTGCAGACAGTCTCACTTTCCTGTGACAAATCTACCTTATCTACCACCTAAGGCATTACACTCATAACAAAAGGATTAATAAAAAATGATGTATTGCATTATTAGTGTTCTATTAGGGATGGGGCTAGATTCCTTCCAAGTAAAAGTAACTTCTCTTCTAAGAAAACAGGCTGTTGCACAAGAAAGAAAAATAGTGCAACTCTGAGTACAAGTGTGTTCTGAAAATCTTCATAGTGTCCATCATTCTTTAGCCTGTATTTTGAAGGACATCGAAGTAAGCTTCTAACAAGTTTCATTTAAAATTTTGTCTATAGGAAATGTGTCATAATGATTAAAAAAATATATATAATTAACATGGGAATCTAGATACCTACAACACACCTGGTATTTCTACTGGAGAATTGTTTGTGTTATTCAGGAGTTTGACCCTTCATTTAATCAGCAAGACTAATATTTAGTAAGACATACGTAATCAAATTATATTCAAATGCAAAAATAATTCTGTGCAGAGCAGTAGTGCACACCAGGAAATACAGCTATAGTGTTGTGACTATCAGGTATGTTTAACAATTTCCTCACCTTTACTCATCTGGATAATAAGCAAGGGTTTAAATGAGGAGGCACTGTTTGCCTGCTCTTTTATTATTTTAGCAACTGAAAAATTAATACTGAGAAAATATTTATAACCAAATAAGTTTTACAATCCACAAAATATCATGGCTGCTCTGTGGGAAAGTATACTAATGGTAATTCTATTGTAAGTGTACATATGTGTTCAAAGATTTGTCATCATATTTAATGGTACCTGCTGGGCCATGGAGTGAGGTACACTAACTAGCTAGGTAGCTAAACTATTTCCACAAACTTTTAAAATACGTTAAGCATTCCTGTAAACCTGATTTAATGCCAATAATATACATCATAAAGATGCAATTTACTGAACATGATTTAACTTAATCTTTAGAAATATGTTCACACTATGAAAAACAAAACAGACTTCATACTAATTAAAATTCCCATCAAGTAGCAGGAGTAGCAGTAACTTTTATTTAACCAGGATAATGAAAACCTTTGAGACTATCAGTTTATTTGCAAAAGTATCCTGGGGCGACAGTGGTTTATCTGTACAAAGTAACCATCAAGCACAATGGAAAACAAAATTAAAATAAAATAGAAAAGCTTACAGCAATTATTGATCAAAGCTATATCCCTTGGTAGTTCAAAGAAGAGTTCAAGATTTTCACAAATGCTTGCAATCTGAGAAGTATCCTTTTTAAAATTCTGTGGTGAAAGCAAATTGCTACAGTAATGCATATGAAAACCATAATGGTTTGGTAAAATGCTTTCATAGTATTATATATTGTGTTGCCAACCCTTCCAGCTACTTTGAGATGCTATCATCATTTAGATTATTGTCCCCTTCTCTACTTCATGCCCCAGTAAAGCCAGACAGATAAACAAAATCTAACAGGTAGGCTTACAGCTATCCATTCCTTTTACTGATAATCAGGTCAGTTCATGTATCTTAGTGGAAGACAAACAAAGTATGGTACCACTGCACTTACGAATCCTTCGTTCTAGAATTAAAGATTAACACTAGCCATATTTTAGATTAGGTGTACGAAGTGTATTCTAAGATTTTTACAGATTATGTTTTTGGATTAAATTCTTTGCCACACCTGATAGATTGCACTCTTCTGTGTTCTGAATTTAAAAAACATTTATTTATTTTCATAAATATTTAAAATGTAAGGAAATAAATAGAGAAAAAATGAAAACAGTTTCTTTACATAAGTTTTAAAAGAAAAAAAAAAGAAATTTTACAGTAAAGTAGGAAGAGTAGGGATCATAATAACTGAACCATGATGCTGAATTAACTTGCTATCAAAATATATGAGGCAGGGTGTTGGCAAAAGGCATGAATTTTTTTTGTTCTCTCACGTTCATATAATTCTGTGTTAAAGAAACTCTCTTAGGGAGTTTGTGTTCTTACACTAAACTGGTGTACAGACTGATTTTAAGGTTCTTATAAGTCATAATTAATCCTTTTCATATTTCATTTTTATTTTACTTTCAATCAACTTCTCATTTCAACGTTTTGCTGGATTTACATGCTGCATTGATTTTTTCTCTCAGATTTTCTACCAAATGCAACTATTGATTCAATTATGTAGTGTTGGGGTTTCCTGGTACAGCTTTCTTAAGTTTAAAAAAAAAGTTAAACTAAGGTCATATCCTTATTACTGAATTTGTAGGTTCATGTTAGTTTGAGTGACTTAGAACATCTAGAAAGATTCAGGAAGTCTTTATGACAAACTTTGGTTGAATGCTACTCCTGTGATTCTGAGGGGCTTTGTATCTTACAGGATGTTTTTATCATAGGCATCAAACAGGATTTGAGTTACAGTGTATATTGAAAAAGAAGAATGAAAAGAAACTACAGCCTATTCTATGAAAACTTGTAAGAAATAGCTGTATGATTTATGTGGTGATATTATGGACGCACCTTTACCTGATCCCCAGAGATACTTCCTTTGAAACTGTTTTTAATATTTCAGTCTTCTAAGCCATGTCAGCAGCTGTTATTTTAAAATGTTTCTTTCTTTAAGCATGAAATCTCTCCATATTCTTTCACTGGTTAAAATTGTCAGAAATGCCTAAGTGATTTTTTTAAGCTTAACCCATTCTCTTTGGCAGAAGTAATCTAGATATTGAAGTGCATATAAAGTAGTGACTGATATGTAAGAACTACTGAAGTTCATCTTTATGGAAATGTAACTTTGTTAGTACTACTAAAGCCAGTGAGAAATATGTTCATTTACTGGCTATGTGTGCTGTGTTTCAGTGGCACACATTTTCAGGGCTTTGTTAGCAGTTATTAAAGAATTAGGTCATCTCATTCACAAAAGTAGCAAAATATGTGCTTGGTCTTTTCCTTTTTCAAAGATGTTTCTGGAAGCCCAGGTGTGATGTTCAGCACTTGGGGCTTCTTTACTGTTCAGAGCTGTGTCCTATTGCTTTGAAAAGGAGGCAAGAGAATGGAGATAGTGCCTACACCTGGGGAGGTGGTACTGAGAAAGAACAAGCTGCTGGTCATGAGCTCTGGGGCTGGTAGTAGCACTTGTAGAAGGACCAGGATTTAAGGATGGAGCAGGGAGTGGCTGGCTGTGCTTCAGAGAGCATGGAAATAATTTCCTGCAAACTTATTAGCCTAATTTTGAGTGGCTCCTGGAAAGAACTTGCCTGCAAGGATACAGGGAGAAAGTAGTGCTTTTACTTCTTTTCTAGCATGTTTTAGATCTTTATTCAGATAAAATGTGGGTGTTCTCAGATTTCTGATTGGCTCAGTGTTGCCTTACAGTGTGCTTAACTTTAAATAGTTCTACTTCTTTTGTCTTTGGTGAAACTTCAGCATGAACTTCAGGTGTGTAGTGTTGGTGGGATTTCTTAGGAAGATTTCATAGGCCTATAGAGACCTGTTTAGGGTTTATCAAAATATGTAAATACAGCACACTTGGAGTCTGTGAGTGCACTGGAGCAGGAAAAGTAAAGTAGAAGTCTCTAAACTGAATTCCTTCTTGAGGGAGTTGGTCTTTATGTTGGTCTGGAGCTGGATAGTGTGGAGTGATCCTATTGCTAGTTCTGTTTCCCTATTATTTCTGCTGTTTATGTAAGTACTGGAACAGGCCCTCCTGCATGTGAGATAAAAGACATTAACATATACTTCTATTTTAAATAATTAAACTTCATTTTTTACTGTGTTTTTTTTGCAGATTAGCAGAACAAACCTACTCATGATTTAGTTAACAAGATAGCTTCTTAAATCATTGCTTGAGCCTTCAGATTTTAGGTACCTGGAGTAAAAGAAAAAATTTAAGGTGGAAAACTTTAAGCAAATTGCACCAATAACTCTGTATAAGAAATGTATTGTGACTGACTTAAAAAAATCATGGAAATAGGCTGATCATCAGAAGGCAGGCCTGTTAAAGCGCAAGAAATTTAGCTCTAATTTAATCTGTTCCCTTTTGGAGATCAGACAGTCTAACTTCTGTCTCAATAGCTTGTAAAAACTGAGCTAGCCTGACGTGGTTAGGCCATGCAACTGGTTATGGCCTTGAAAATTTTGCTGCAAGTACCTGAAGTTGTGCAGATTTGTGCCTGAATAAATAAGAGAAGGAAGGGGTTCCTGCGTCAGCTCACATTAAAGAGCAGAGGAGCTTTTTAGGCAACATTACCCTGACTGCTTGCTGAAAAGAGACTGTGGGATGTTTATTTGGCTTTGATAGATAAGATAGTCTGAAACAGATTCTGTCTGAAATTGCTCCTTGGGCATTTTAGGACAGTTGGTAAGAGGCAGGTGGTGTTAGAGTGTTGTTTGTTTGTCATTTTATTTTGATGAGAGAGGGCTAGAGAGGTAGCAAAATGTGTCAAGAGTGTCCCTGCCATTTTAAATTGAAATTAAAAATAATACTTGAGAATTAGTTTGTCTGGAAGCCCACCTATATGTTTATTCTCCATATAGTAGAATTTCTGCTATACAGTTGCTTCAGTGAATAACCAGTGGTTTTGAGCCTCTTCCTTCATGACACAATATCTGTATAAACACTCATCTGAGCTGTTTTTTAATGTTATTACTTATTTTTGTCTTACCCTAGACTAAACTCATATTAAGGTAGTACCAATGATGATACCATACCTAAGAAGACCTGCTTGGAATAAGATAAATAGTATGGTTTCCTAAATGAATTTTCATATTATTACTTTTAATAATTTTTAAAGATAATGTGGTGTTCATGTTAATAGTGGGTTGTTTGATAGATATTTGGGAGGTTTTGCATATCCTTTCTCAGTTCACACTGTAAGTCTGGTACTTAGGTTAGATCTTTATTCTAGAACAAGCCTTAAAGATTTGTTTTTTCTAGGAGGAGTCTTTTTTCCTAATACTTCTTGCTTTGGTTGTTGAGGACTAATTATGTATTCGTAATTATTGAATAACAAATACATATAATGTAATGTGACAGTACAGAAAGGGTGATTTATGGAAAGAAATAGGTCACAGATTACTAAATACAATGAGGTTTATGTATCAAAATCAATACTGGAAGGGCCAGTATTAATTATGGGAAAAATAAACAAACATATTTTATTACTAGTAGCTCCCTACCTGCCCAAACTTGTCTTCTAATTCTGGGTCATTCTTGTAGGACTCGGATGAAAATTATATCCTGCCCGTGTACTCAGCACTTTCTGATCACATCACACTTATTTTCTTATACACTTTTAACAGCCTCAGGAATTAAACTTCATTAGGTTTCATCAGTAGACCCCTCTCTCCTTTTGTCCTCAGCATGTCAGTCAGAGTTTCTTTTTAAGTTTATACGCTAAGTGTGTCTGCATATATTCCCTGGTAGCGATCCCAGGATTGTCTTGACCAAAACTATATAGCTATAGGAATGTGAACTTTAAAACATGACTGCTGACATCTGAGCAGAGTAAACCAACTCCTCCTGAGTGCTTCTCTGCTGTGGCTCAGCTCCTTTTGGTGCCCAGTGCAGCACAGACTGAACTAGCACCATAGTGATCAGTGTAAAATATCCTTACTGTTCAAACGTCTGTAGTCATACTTCTCTTGTCACACCAAGCAAAGAAACACTTAATTATGGCTACCTTGGGAGTTGTTAGGAATAGGTCTTGGCCTTTTCTGTCCAAAAAGAGGCAATCGAAAAAAGATCTCATGGCAGTCAGTGAGGATTTCCCATGTCCAAGGACTATGTATTTAGTAGGAAGCTAGTCTTACTGGTCGCTGTCGGTTTCTTAATCTGTCAGTAATGTTATGCCTTGTCTGATGGAACTGAAGCTGTTTCCCATCTAGCAAAGTATACAGTCTTAATGTAAAGGTTTTGGGAAACGGAGAGCTACTGTAGTCTTTGAAGTCATCCTGAATTACAGCTGTAGTAAAACTTTGGATTTATTGGTACCTTGCATCTGTCAGAACAGTTCCTGGTTCTTAACACTACATTGTTGTAGCTAAATCAGGAGTCAATAAACACAAATCTTATTGTCCTTACCCTTCAAACTGAAGTTTTTAGTAACAGCTGAACTTCACAGGTTATAAGAGCTGTTTCTCTTCAGTTGGATTGTGTTATGATTCTTCTATATTAGGATATCTCTTCTGTAGCTTTCAAAAACTGTACTGCTTTTACCAAGAGTGAGTTTGTAATAATACTGTTTTGAGTAATTTGATTCACAAGCACTCTGAGGATAAATTTAAAAATACATATTCCACAAATGCCCTATTTTTTTTCTTTTGTCTTTTAAACAGGCTTTTAAATTTTCTTCTGTAGAGAAGCTGGACAATGTTCTGACTTTGTTATTGAAAAGCAAAATGTCTGCTTATGAACTTGGTCCCTTCCAAAGTGAAGAAGAGCACCATCAACAAGCTAGTGAGTCACTTCTTGTATGCTTTGATTTTTATTACTGATGCTATGGTTATTACTTATAAATGTTAATAAGGTGATCTTTAGGTATTTAAAGCCACTAGTGAAATGCAGGAATCCACAATAAAGACAGTGTAACTAGGAAAAATGGGGAAAAAGCATTCTCTAAATCATTATTCCATGACTCAGTACTGTGTATTTATACTTGTCTGGATGTTTAATCAGCTTTGGATTAGCTTCAGATTGACAGCTTTACAGCTAATCAAATTTATATTTATGGGAAAACAGGCAGTAAGAGACATGAGAAGATGCCTGTACATTATATAATTTTTACTAATTGCTTTTCTGCAATACAACTTAAACTTCACTTTCTCGAAGTTTGGTGACATAAAAAGAAAATCAGAAAGATTATCTGAAGAGAATGGATGGCTTTTGAATTTAGAACAGCACTAAACTTCCTCATTCATTTTAGTACTTATGCACTTAATAGTTTCCATTACTTCTGGCCAAAAGATAATTATATTATTTTTAATTTAAAAAGGCATCTCAGTGAATTAAAATAGGATTTTTCTATGAAGTAGACACACTATATGCAGAATTCAGTAGTGTATCAACAGAAGCTACTGTTTAGTACCAAATGGAGGGTCCTGCTTGACTTCATTAACCACATATTAAGGATTCTAATTGGTTTGCAATAAACCAAGAGTGTGGTTATTTAGATTGTGTTTTGCAAGCATAATTATGATGTTATTTCAGATGTGTGTTAGACCCCAGCTTTTCTGAGAAACTTTTGGGGGAAAAACAAAAGCCAAGAAAATGTGTTTCCCTTCTGAAGTACTTAAGAAATATGTGTTTGAGTTGTTGTGTGACTCCTGTTTTATGTATCTGGACTATGGTTTTGAGAGAAAATAAGCTCATTGCAATCAAGTACAACATAACACTTCTCCTAACCAAATATAACAAGTTTTGAAGGTAGCTTTACTGTGATCACTATCATGCTTCCTTTCCTTTTCAGTGAGGTTTCTTTGATGATGGAATTCATTCCTCTGTATTATATATACGTGATTCCACTTGTATACTAAAATTTAGCTTAAATGTGAGACTGGGTTAGTGGAAGCAAACAAGTAGGGTGTTAAGTGAGGCACTCGTCCTTGACATTATCCTGTGCAAGACTACAGGATGAGGGTGTATAGGACACATTAGAGAGTCATTCCCAATGTGAAGTGTTAGTTCTGATGAACAAAAGATTTGTTCCTTCTCTAGCAACCAGTTAGATCTAGGCACGTATTTGAACATTGAGAATAATGCTTACCAACCTGCAGTCCCTCCCCAAAAGGCCTGTGTGGTTCAAGAGCAAGTTGACTGCTTGTGAGTTTGAGCCAAGTAGTGACCTTAAAATCAACTGGTTTGATGTATGGCACAACAAGAAAGTATGAAGTTAGATGCCTAGATTCTTCATGAAAGAAAGATGGGGTTGCAGAGCTGGAAGTGCTCAGAATGTGGGAGGCCTAGGCTCTGATCTCCCTTCTGCCTGAAAGGTGTGTAAACCCATGTCTGACTCCCTATAGGCGTTAGACATATCAGGTCTAATAGAGGATGAGCATCTCCTTGTTCAGCCACTTTTATAGCATTTTATTCCAAGCACCATTTTTTCTTCCAAAGACAAAATGTCAAAGAATAAAAACTAATTAAATACTTTTGGGAAGGAAATTAAGCTATTGGATGAAAAGCTCTTTAGCAGAGAGATGAGTTATTCATGTATCTCGGATCAGGCAGATGAATTAGCCCTAGTTTCGTAATTCCTGTATGTGCTGCTGTTGCGTGTAAAGGATGGTAAAGCAATTTAGCAGGAAATAAACCCCCTTGTATTCCAACTCACCCTCAGATAACTGGAGGAGCTGGGGGTGGCTAGGCTTAAATCCTGAGTGATGCCCAATTGAGCTTTATTGGTCCAACAACTGCAGATGCACCGAATCAATAGATCACTATTGGTCCGACAGGGTGGTGCGCTGCCACTATCGGTCTGAGAGGCACCGAGTGGTGCACTGCCACTATCGGTCTGAGAGGCACCGAGTGGTGCACTGCCACTATCGGTATGAGAGGCACCGTGCAGATGCACCGAATCAATAGATCACTATTGGTCCGACAGGGTGGTGCGCTGCCACTATCGGTCTGAGAGGCACCGAGTGGTGCACTGCCACTATCGGTCTGACAACTGCAGATGCACCGAATAGCGTGCTGCACTCCCGTGCCCACGATTTATGGACCTACACAGCTAAACCTGCAGAATCTGGCAGTGTCCTGCTGAGCACGGGTCAGTTGGGTTGGCTGGTTACAGACAGACACAGTTCGACAGGACACTCCAAGTCAGGGCACATCAGTGCTGGATCCACTTGATAGTGTCCTGTACCCATCGGCCAGTCACAATTTATGGACTCCCGCGGCCTTATCTGGCAGCAGCCCAGCAAGAAATTGTGCAGCAACTCTGTAAGCAAATGAAAGCACCTTTAATAGAGCTACAGGGTTAATACAGATTTGTATGGATTGCTGGTGATAAATCACTATCTGCAGAAATAAATGCTTATACTGAGGTTACAAATTACTAGAACTATTAATCGTAGCAGGATGTTAGGTTACTACAAAGCACTGAATTAGTAAAAGTTTTCTCTGGAGTTTTCTAAGTGTCCAAGAGAGGAGTTCTTAGCAGAGTCTAAGTCTTAGTCTTACCCAAAGATGTCCAAATGTGGGGGAAGAGAGGCTCAGCCCGTTGGCTGGTCCCAGGAGTCAGAGGTCTGCTTGTCCCTGACTGGTCCACGATGATGTCTTCCTTAACTCCCTCCTTCCTTTGTGCTATTTTTATACTATTTTTTACCTGCAAGGTGGAGCTTGAGTGACTGTAGTCGTACCTTTACGGTGATTGGCAAAAGGTACTTCCGTTCCTCTTTTATGGTAGAAACTATCAAAACTTAGAGATGCTCTCTATGAGGGGGAAAGAGGGGGGCAATGGTATGGAGTTATGGTTTTCGTCAAGGTCCACAAAGCGGGTAGTTGTCAGAAAGGGGCACCAGCAGTTGATCAAGAATCACAGATAGACCATACATCAAGCCTTGTGGAGTCAAAGCGGTGTCTGGCACAGGGAGTTAGGGAAGGAGCTGCCACTCTTTCCCTGTGCAGTAAACAAATGGAATAAAGGGGATATTATTAAATTCCTGGCATACCAGCTGCACTTTTCCCCTGGGATCTTCTTTGACACTGTACCTTCCCTTAGTGTGTGGACACAGCCATTTTCTGATTTTTTTTTAGTTACCTCCAGCAATTACTCCACAGCTGCTTTTCCCTAGTGGTCAAAATAGGCTAACTCGTGTCAGAAATCCAGTTGTCTGTTTCCGGGGGCCACAGACGTTTTCCAATGAGACATGGTCAAAATAGAGGCATGTCAGTAAGTCAGAATGCAGATATACCTTTAACTTCCCAGTGACTACCTGTATGTGATTCTATAGGATTCCTGCCCACTTCCAAACTTTGCTTCTAAAGGCTTCAAAGTCTATTGAACCGAATAAAGGGAGCCTCTGATTATACTTAGTATCAAATGCTTAGATCATAAAGCTTTGAATATCTAATTTTCCTCCAAAATCTGGAGTGAGTTTTTTGTGCATCTAGCATCTAATGGATGGTACTTAATCTTCTAGCTTTCCAGTCTGGGTATAATAGCTCTATCTTAATAGTAATACCTCAACCCAAAGGCAGATGCACTCCTTGGAAGCTAGATGCTTCTAAAGTAAATATGCACTCCTTTCAACCTAAACACTAAAAAAGGTTTAAATCTTTTTACACCTTAATCCTTTTGAGACTGTTTCATGACTGTAGTCATTGGCATGACTACAGGAGGTCAATCCTGCAGCATGAGGCATAGATAAGAGAAACCTTTGTATGGTATTACCTTTATGCTTTATTTTAACTTTATAGCTAGCACATCAGGGTACAGCTGAGAAATTGCTGTACTTGCGAGTTCTCAATATGAACTCAAAGTGAACAAATAATGAAGAACTCACAATTAATTTTATTGGATAACTAATGAATTGCATGGTTTGACTTCTCACAAAGTGTACAGCTGTGATTAAAAACTTGGCAGTGAAAACTAAATATAAAATCTAATGGGAAAACTGCATGTAATGTAATCAAAGAAAAATGTAATGCGATGCTTGCTTATATTAAGAATTGTTTAGATCGAGACATCACCAGATGCATTCTTGCTTACATAATTTTTCAAGAGCCACTCTCTTCCCCAGAATGGCTGTTTAACTATTTTTTAGTACATTGAATGCAGTACTTGCAAGAGGTCAGTGTGTAGACTGGCAAAGTCAGATAGTAGAGGTGCAAAATGTCAACTCTGATACCATCTTACTTTTAATGCCTCTATTACAAATGTCTAATAATCCTCTCAAACAGCTGTTCTTTGTTTGGTTCACTCTTCAATGCATAGTTTTAGAGTGCCTAATTTAAGACAATCTTATAACTGCCTTTATTTTGTACACAGAATCTCCACTGGAAATGCGGTTTCATTCTTCTAGGTTTTAAGAATGAAAGTATGTACATGATATTACTATAGCTCTCACTTTGTGTTTCCTATCATGTATATACAGGATCATATTTACGGTATTTTTTCTTGCAACCCTGAGGCTCTTTACTTGTCTTTCAGTTTCCATTTATTCAAATTAAGTTGGAGACTTTGAGCACCGGATGACAGGCCTTATGTGTAGTTCTTTGTTTAATATGATCTTTTCTGTTTGACTGGTCTGTTATACCAGTATAACCAGGTCTCATAAATGCATGTGATTATATGCAAGCATGCCTATAAATAAGACATGCTTGGGGTAAAATCATCCATTGTTATTTCCCTGGGATAGACTTAACTAGAATATTGTCAGTATTCTAATTTCTTTTAAGTACTATTAAAAAAAACCCAAGATGTCCTCATAAACTTACTATGTTACCATTATATCTAA